ATCTTCAGGAATATCCCTACTTCAAATCAACATTTCTTTTGCCTTATGGAGATTCGCATGGAATCCAAACTTATTACAAGATATTTCTTGATGGGCACGACATCCTCTCCAACTTAACTTCCACCATGTCCAAGTGACCAAGATGACCTCAAATTAAAATGAAAAAGCCAAAAAAATAGGCCTAGGGCCTAGTTGAAAAATTTGAGCTGTCCTACCTTAGCAAACTCTTGAGCAAGCTTCTGGTACTTGGTTTGAAGGTCTGCCATGCTGGTAGTGTAAAAGTAGGATGACACTTGTCGAAGTCGTCTGGAAAAGTAGAAAAATTCTAAGAGAAGTTTCACAATGACAGTTTATTCCTCCATGATGCATGGTACGACTACGAGCGAAAGGTAGGCGTCATGCATCACATAGCCCATTTTCCATAAGTCAGAAGTCGGTCGTCTTCCTAGTAAAAGGATCCGAAGAAAAAAAAGAGTCTCATATTGCGCGAGGGCGCTGTTGAATACGAAATTAGACTTGCATACGTCCGTCCAGCTGACACTGCAATTTTTGCTGTTATCGTTGTTTTTGTTTTAATGGCGCTTTCAGCAACTCAGGCTATTTGCACCAATAACTGTACGTTCATTCATACACTTTATTATTAATCAGCATCACATTATGGAGTTAGGAAGAAGGTCCAGTTTTAGAGGCAGGAGGAAACCGGAGTACCTGGAGAAAACCTACGAGAGCGAGTACGGACTGGAAACCAAATGCACTTAAAGCGTGGACCAAGCCGGGACTCAAACCCAGGCCTCATTGGTGCAAAGCGAGGAAAGAACCGCTACGCTTACCCGCTCCCCCTTTTGCTGTTATCAAAAGCAGCTTCCGTTTTTATACCCGATAAACTATTCAGTGATGAGCTGGGACTTTTCACAGAAAGATGGATTAAACTTGAATTAACCCCTTTTCGCCTCTCACCAACCCAATACTATTTATTAGTTTACGACCGTTCCAAATCAGCTCAGTGTTGGACGTGTCAACTTAAAACTGCCAGTAATCAGTCCGCCATTGATTTTATATCTATCTCCATTGTAGTTGAGTTTGGTTTTACAATATCACCGCTGACAGAAATTAATTGAAAAATAATATAGACAGCAAGAAGAGAGATGGGGGTGCTTGTCCCACCCCTCCCCCGGAAAAACAATTGATGAAAAGAGCAAAAGAGATTAAAGATTGAACGGGAATGAAAATCACCTTGGGAAAAAAATCAAGACAGACCCCTCCCAATGTTTACCGTTTATCAGTTCGCTGCTGATGAATGCTTCCTCCCAGAAACTCCCCCTCCAAAAAAATGGGACGCAATGCCTGGAAACTTTTAAATAATCGTCAGCTGCAACTAAAACGAGAACGCGGGCAGCTACGTCAGCTGAAAAAGCCGGCCAGGTACACAATGCAGATATGTTGTGGTAAATTACTAGGCATTTTATTGTTACTAAAAATTCCACGCTTAAAGGACACTACAAAGTAGGTATGCAGAGTGGTTATTATTATTATTATTAAATTCAATTTATATAGCGCTCATTTCATAAAAAATGTTCAGGAGTGCTTAACAATATTTAAAAAAAATACCTATAAGAACAACTATTTAACAATTCGTTGAGGTGGCGCTGGCGGGAACACTAAAACCCACTGCATACAGTTTGGCAATTACTGCTTTATGTTTTAAACAACTAAAGGGTTTCTGAGCACGAGTGTTTCACTTTGCCTGAGGCTAAGTTAGTACTGTGTCCCTGGTGGATGGTGGAATAGCTTCTGCTGGCTACTGTACAATCGCCAAAATTCTGGCTGTCCCGTACAGATGACGCCGCAAGGGATCTGGTTGCAACTAAAAGAATTAATTTGTAAAATGAACTTATTGGGACAGAACAGCAAGATATATTCTGTCAATCTCGGTCTTGAAAGCGCCAAGAGTCGCAGAACATCTGACGTGGTTTGGTATACAATTCCACTCTTGAATCGTCCAAGGGTACAATGAGTGAAGATAGCTATTTTTGTTTGCCCGGATACGGTTGTAGATAAGGTCACCATGATGATGTCTTGTAATAAGTCTTGCCACTCGATTTGTGTTGGGTTGGTATAGAAGTTGAAAAATATTGTTTTGGATGAGGCCATGTGTCTCCTGATAGAAGGTACACAGTAGGGCTTTCATTCGTCTAATATCGAGGGATTCCCAATCCAGTTTAGAGATCATGTCAGACACACTGGAGGTTTGTGAGTAATTGTTGAAAATGAACCTAGCAGCACGTCGCTGTACTTTGTCAAGAGTGTCGATGTTGCTTTTCTGGTGTGGATCCCATATCGTCTGACAATATTCCAGGAGTGGTCGAACTAAGGCTTTGTAAGCAATATCTTTTGTGACTCTGTCACAACAAGAAAGATTTCTCCTAAGTAATCCCAAGGTCCTGTTTGCTTTAGCAGCGTTCTGATTGATGTGTTTAGCTCAGGTCAAATCGGATGTGAGTTCAACCCCCAAATATGGATAATGACTGACCTCCTCATGAAGACTCTCCCCCATACTATATCGGTTCCTGAGAGGATTTCGCTTGTGGGTGACTCTCATGGAAAAACATTATGGTTAAACCCCATCTGCCAGGTAGATTCCCAGTTGCAAAGCTGATTAACATCATTCTGGAGGATGCTGGCATCCTTTCTGGTCTTGATCTCCCGGTATACTATACAATCATCAGCGAATAGCCTGACACTCGATGATATGATATATAGGTAGGTCGTTGATGTAGACTAAGAATAGCAATGGGCCCAACACCGTACCCTGGGGGACTCCGGACTCAACTGGAGATTCCATGGAGGCCTCGCCGTCCACAACAACCCTCTGATGGCGCCTGGTGAGGAAGGATTCAATCCAGGAGTGGATATTATTCCGAATGCCAACGTGAAGGAGCTTAGCAAGAAGTCTACGGTGGGGAACGGTGTCAAACGCCTTGCTAAAATCCATTATAATGAGGTCGGCTTGGCCACGGTAGTCTAGAATACTGTGAAGATCATTTACAAGGGCAGAGAGCTGGGTTTCACAGGATCTTCCTTTCCGGAAGCCATGCTGTTGACGGCTAAGATCCCAAACTTCTCAAAATGACTCATGATGTGGCTATGAATAATGTGTTCAAGCAGCTTGCAGACGATTGACGTCAATGAAACCGGACGGTAATTTGCAGGGTTGGCACGGTCACTTTTCTTGTAGATAGGTGTGATATTGGCTTTCAGCCAATCTCTAGGAAGAGCACCAGTTGAAACAGACTTCTGAAATAATTTCTGTAGTATGGGAGCAATACTGGTTGAGCAAGCCTTCAAAACGCGCGCTGTGATTTCATCTGGGCCAGCAGCCTTGCTAGTATTAAGCTCAGCAAGAAGTTTCTCTATACCATCAGTACCGATACATAAATCGGAGATGTCAGGAGTACTGCTATGTCCTAGGCGAGGGAAGTCTGTCAGCCTCTCTTTGGTAAAGACGGAGCAAAATTGGTGGTTAAGAGCCTCCGCCTTTTCCTTAGCACTGGAAAGAACCTTGCCGCCAACTTGTAAAGGTGACACACCAGAAACTTCTTTCCTACTAGAGTTGATAAACTTCCAAAAAGGCTTGGTTTGGAGTCTGTTTTCAAGCTGGCACCAATAACATCTATAATATAAGACCTACAAGCTCTTCTAATCTTTCTATCGACGTCTCGACGAAGCTTCTTGAATTTAGACCAGTAGTCGGCAGAACCAACTCTTTTGGCCCTGTTATAGAGGCGTTTCTTCCTGTTCACTACTCTCTTGATGGAGCTATTTATCCATGGATGTGAGATATGACTGGAAGTAAATCTGGCAGGGATGTTTTTCTCAGTAGACGCTGAGAGTGCTGTTTGAATAAGTTATACAGGTCATCCATTGAGTTGGTACTATACTGGCCTCAGAGTGTGCACTGACCGCGCTGGCTCCTGTCCAGAAGCTAACCCCAAAATTCAAGCAATAGTAGATCACAGAGTTTAGTTCGAAGAATGTCTTTATTCCATGAACTTCCATGAACTGGTACTATGTGCCTTGAAGTTTGTTTGTGGGTAAAATTGTTAAAACAAAAGATTACAAACATAAGGTCAGTCCTCCATATTTGTGAAAGAAATTGTGAAAACCAACCCCAATAAACGTACAAAACTTCTTGACTATGTCAACACACAATTAAACAACCCTAAATCAAACTGTCACCAGTTTCCTCTTCACATGCCAAAAACATACA